TTGCGCTCCGGTTCATGTTTTATTGCTATGGCTTCACACGAATGTCTTCGTGTAATAAATCAAATCAAATCAAATCAAATCAAATTCTCGAGGTGGGCGGGGTTGGCACCAAAGTGGGCGGTTCTTAGGTCAAAGTTTCACAACTCTGTTCAGAAACGTTTTAGAACGCTGGAGAAGGGGAAAGAGGTCAGCAAAGGAAATGAAGCAAACCATCATTGATTTGCCATGCATGCACAAATGTGGGCGAAGTCATCCTCGGAACATAACTCGGTTCCACGAAACCCTGGAGTTCGGAAAAAATGCACTGAATCTGGAAATTGTAGGCAAACGGGTCCTATAACTGAGAGGAAAGTGCGCCAGAGTGGGCGGAAATTACGAACAACCTACAATTTGTTGAAAAGAAACAGGACTCCGCCCGCAGAGGCCCAAGGGGCGCGGTTTAAGTAGAAATTCATAGCTCCTTTCCCCGTGGATCTAGAGCGCTGGAATTTGATGGGTGTGCGGGCGGCAGGATAGAAACACTTATGGTGGGTCGCAAGACCGGACTCACCCACATGAGGCGGGGTTAGTGCGGAAAGTTTTAACTTGGACCTAGAGCGCTCATATTCCGCCGAAATGCAGGCGGCAGGATGGGAGCACCCACGTCCGGGGCAGGACTTAACCCTGCTCACAGGAAGCGAGGTGTGGGCAAAAAATGTCACTTTATACTTGAAGCGAAATTCCGAAACGAAGGTTGAATAAGTCAGAAATTGTGCTTCATAATGAATAACTCCTGCTCTCATCTACCGAAGCCTCCAAATTTGAGAATGTGCAGGCAGGGAGGCCATTGTAACACGAGAAGGAGGGGAGCCCGACGCTACTTCAGAACTGTGATTTCGATTTGTGCCGGCATAGTGCTATGTGAGTCGGGCGAGCCGACTGGTTGAAAATAAACTGTGGAAGGACGCCGAAATATTCTAGATTGTTTCGTCGCCGTCGTTCTTGCAGCACAACATGTATCAAGGACTAATCTTTTCCTTAGAATTTATTGACCTTTTGACCAACTTCTCTATTGTAGTTCTTCTAATTGTAGAACGGCGGATTAGTTGTGGTGGCGAAAGGCTTCCTACCACATGGGCATAGTCCGACGATCAAATTTCGGATCGTACATGCCAAATGGGCTTCCATCGCTTGAGGTCATTCAGTGGGTCCAGACTCATCTGGGACGGTAAACGCACTGATCATTGGATGGCAACCCAATGTACATTCCACATACCTATTCAACACGTAACCACGATTCTGAAAGGAAGTCGAATGCGGAGGCGCATCCGCATCCGGTTTGCAGGTTTGTCGGTTGTCGGTCTCTCCGTCCGCAAATTTTATGATTACTATCAAGGTAGTGATATGGAAAACCTCGCTCTATTCTACACTTCCTTCTTATATATAGGGCAGTAACGTGGTGGGTAGGTTGATGAAGTAGAATGGGTACTGCGAAGTGAAGGGAGTGATGAGGAGTGAAGGGAAGAGGGTACTTCAAAACTGTGATTTCGATCTGTACCGGCAACGTGCTATGTATGTCTTTACAAAAATCGGAGGTGGTAATGTAGTTGGGAGAGTGTAGATCAGGAAACTGTTTATTCTCAGCTAAGAAAAGTTAATAACAGGAAAAAAAGCGATTTAGGTGGTGGCCAAGGTCAATGTGAACCTTTGAATGATAGATGAACAGCTCATCTGGTTAGAATGTAGTGCTAGTTGAAGCGAAGTAGACAAGTCTGAAATGGCTCAAGCCTGGTCTCTAGGCAATCCATCAGTATCCATCGGGGTCTGTTAGCCATATAAGAATAAATGAAGTAGTGGAGCCAGCCCAACCGCTATTCTATACAATTCAGGAACTTGAACTAAGCAAAAGTACAGATATATATGGGAATACTCGTGGTTCGACATTTGAATGGAAAATTAACAATGAAGTAGATCGCTTCTGAACGTGCCGGTTTCCTCGTACAAAGTATTTATTTTGAGAGAGACTACGTCAATGTGTGCCTTTAGGTCAGGAAGCGAATTTTCGACTCGCGGCACACTTGCATTGTGACTGCTACGGAAGACCTGTTCCGCCACATGAGTATGTCGCTCGCACCGAAAAAACTTCTAGCTAAATACATAAGTATGAACATGACCCTTGCAGCCCTTACAGTGTGACCTGAGGAAATGAGAGCAAACGACAAACATCCCCATCTGTTTTGAGCAGCGCTTGTATATTTCACCAAGACAGTTTAGCACTTGTCCGCTACTCTAACAGTTCAACTTACTGGAGTGATAACGACAATTAATTTATCAAGTTAGAAAGACCAGATGCCGAGGTGCGAAACAACAATGAACAAACAGCAATTTGGGAAACTATAAACAACTCCAAAAAAGCTAATTATGAAGGGCGTATTCACTGAAAATGAAAACAACCATCTGGGAACACAGTGATTTTTTTGAGGACACATCGTCATTTCGGAATGTTGTGATTGTTGCGTGCGACGCAGCGTCAACGTTCTCCTATTACTGAAGTATAAACGAAAAGGGTTCATACACAGATAATCGGGTCGCACTCAGCAGGTGCTGACTTCTATGACATGAAGAAAGGACCATCGCTGATCGAAGGTCTTGTCTGTCTTGAATAGAAGGAGAGTCCTCCCAGTCTATAGTGTCTAGATTGTCGAGAGCAAGAATGACGAGACCCTACGCCTTTATGGCCCAGCCATGGGGCAGAATTTAGTGTATGATAAAAAAACTCAGGTTTTCCGCGATCACACCCAAGTGTAAGCTGTGGTAGGTGTAGGGTATACAATGAAATGAGAGCCGTAAGTGCAGTTATCAGTGCATGAGTGTATGAATAAGTTCTGATCGGGCGATGCCGTTGACGACGTGCAATTCCTTGACTCACCATGGCTCCGCGTCGTAGTTGGCTAGCTTTCAAAGTTCTTCTGAGTCATCTTGGTTTCTCTTATGCAGCACTAACGCTTTCATTGCAACGTCAAAGAAACTGCAACGAATAGCCCGGGACATGTCTATAGCCGGCCATGCTGAAAATAGGGGGAGGGGGGGAATGGACTACAATCATATGACTGTCGGGGATTTCCCCCTTTACTCTTTCACGCAAGTTCTTGAAATGAACGCTCTAGAATAGTTCGATTCTTCACCCGGGGGTAATCTACAGCCTTTCCTTTCTAAGCTCGTGAATTTGTCTTTACACACGTTTCAGCTCTGCGACAACTTTGCTGTGGTAACTATCGTAGATATCGTGCCTCCCATTAACAGCGAGAACAAACTCATTCCACTTCGTCGATGATTTCACCTTTCAGGGGTATATGAGCGGAGGTGAAGTGATGATATCGGAATAACTTTATAACACTCAGCATCTCTTCTCCCTCGCATTTCTCATGAAATTACCCAGAAGCGTTATTCCCGGGACGGGAACCTTCTCCCCGAAAACGGCGTCGCCACGCCGCACCCGCCGTGTTACGCAGGATTGCGATGGAAGATTGGAGCGCGCAATTTGTGAGGTAGGGAGTCCTTTAATCATTTGAACTGGCTGACCGCTCACTTCAATTCCAATGCGATCTTGATCGTCGCTAATATAGGAAGAGTCATTCTAATTGATCAAGTCTAGTAAACATAAAAACGAAAAAGAAACAGGCAAAAAACGACCAAATCTAATAAAAAAGAAAGGCAATCAATGAAAAATATTGCGTCCTATCGAATGGTGGGGAGGCGGGGTGAGTACGGTAGTTGCAGTGATATTTGCCGCATGCCGCAAGGGAGAATGCCACGATCGGAGAGGAGTTCCGTTACCCCCGTCATTTTCCTATGACTAAATACAGCGGTTTGTAACACCATATTTCTGAACTCCTCAAGCCATTATATATCTCATTTTTTTTACAAAATGCCTTTTTGCCTCAGGCTAGTTATCACCCCTAAAACGTATATCGACTCCTACAATGAATTCAATTTGAAAAAACGCTGTAATTCGATGGCCAAATGTATTCTCGTGAAATTTACGGTTAGCAAACAATTCCTAAGAATGTTGATGTGCAAGAATATAACTACGCTCCATATTAACAAAAACAAATCGTCCAACAATAATCCGAACCGCTTTTTTTTTTTTGAAGTACCCTGCAGAACTTTATTCAGTATCAGGCTGATATCTACAAAATGATAGTGGTAACAATTCATTCACTTACACTACCTGGTATTTGAGGTTTACAACTCTAGTAAGACCTAATATTTTCTTACTGTTGCTCAGCCAGGTGGCAAAAATTTCAGTAACCACTTGAAGCATGAGCAAATCGTTAGGCATGCTCATATTGTTCGTACACTGCAACTTTCGCCATGTATTTACGCTAAGGCTAAGTAGACAAAAACACTTTCTACACTGAAAACCATCTATCACATCATCAGAAGAATGAAATCTTACGTAGTCTGCATTCTCTGAGCTTACCAATGATTGCATGAAGTTAATGGACCTTCACGATCATCTCGCTAACACACATAAGTTTCAGATCGCTGACTGAATCTGGGAAAAGTAACAACTTAACAGTTAAAAAGAAAGAGGAAGATTGAAATGAGCAAAACAACAGTTAACAATAACGTCTCAGATCAAGCACATGCATAAATATCAAACCAATTCAGGTCAGGAGGGGCCAGAGCTACCACCACACTTGACCTGCGACATTTGGCGCAACAATCATGGAGGTATCTGCTACAGCCCCATCCTAGCTCTGCCTACAATTGATGAGTGAGGAGGAATGCTCAATCGAGGGGACCCTTTTCTCTAGTTCCTGCTCGTGTGTTGTCTACTAACCTAGGTGGCGCCTCCTGACCATGAAAAAATTGCTAAACTATAGTATTTCTACAATTTGCGACAAGCATGTTGTACGCACTATGATTCGACCTACATACTATTGCTAACAGGCACTGTACCTCCTTGAAAAGGATTTCCAGAGACTTTTTTGAAGCAGCGCATCAAACGATCGCCTTCAATTTTTCACAACTGGCTTTCCTCTACCAGCTTTTTTGAATTGTTGAGCGTCTTGTTCCTTCAATTGTGCCAGAGTCGGTGGGATCGTCTTGTTTGCTGCAACAATATTACGTGTAAAAAAGCTGGGTGATATAATCTCTTCCTACTAGTAATGCATGCTAGCAATATTTTCAGCGTAAAACGATGAATAAAAATGTTTCAAAATATAATGGATGTAACAAATATTTCACTAAAACGGCTCTGCCACACTCTAAACGCTGCACTTAAAAAAGCAAACGTTGTGGGAGAAATAGGATCCGATATTTCTGTTAAGAAAGGGACACGAGCAATCTCAGCTCGTCATTCCGTGGAATCTCATAAGGTTGGTTACTGTTCCTTCCTTTTCTAGACTGATGCTCGCCCTAAAATCGGTTGGCGTACACCATTGCAAGCATCACTAGACGAGCATGGAAATGGTTCCTCATATAATATTTATAACATTCCGCTCTTCACTTTGCAGATGTCCACCCTCGATCAAGCCTTTAGAAATGGCTGACTAAGTATTGTACTTCGCCTTGATATGTGGAGAAGAGAATTTTTTTAATCGAATAAGAGTTTTTCGTTAGGTATTATAGCCACAGATTTCTTCGAGCATACATATGGAAAAAGCATCTACCTCTAAAACACTAACGACAAAATTAGAGGGTTCTGGCTACGCCTCAGCTTAACCACGGCGCATGCTCCGCCCACTGGAAGTGGAGCTCCGTTGGGGTCGCAGGGCTATGTTACACTCAACTTACGCTCAACCCATTACGAACTTGATCCGACCTCTCCAGGTACTTCTTCAGGTAGTATCGAGTCTGGTGACAGATAGACTCGAGTGCGTTATACATATATAGCAAGGAATATACCATGCCATGTCATGAATGGCACTCGCAATACGGTTGCGTGTCCTGTCATACAGGCCTTCTGCCTCAGCCTAATTGGGTGAAAGCTTTTTACACAACTTACTAAGATAGATGGTTACGTTTAATTTTACTTTAACGTCGCTATGTGGGATAGCTCACATGGGAGTATGAGTCAGCTATAATTTTCACTATGTTTTGCCTTACAGGTTTGTTATGATGGAACCGTTTATTTGGTCGACTTTTTGAAGAAATCGTCGCCTTCAGGACTTGAAAGCAGTTCGGAGCTTCTGGTCTGTGGCTTACCCGCCAACCAAGCGCTTAAACGCGCTAGCCCAGTTGCAACAGCTCCCAGAAACCTAAACACCAAAGGATCCCAACATAGAAACCAACCTTTCTGCGGTCCCACCAACGCTGCCGTCCCACTCGATTTCAATGGATCAATGAGACACCATTGATATTGAATGCAAAATCCTGACCTATGTGAATGAGATCGGTGCTAGAAAGATCTTGGAAGCGTTGCACATCGAGTGAGAAATCTTGGTCTGAACAACCGAAATGGTGCATTGCAACAGACGAATTTCTGTCATTCATTCCTTTATGTGAACTTTGAGAACATCGCGTAATTCTTATCCAACGACCGTCAATGGTGTCTATTGGTCCCTTGTTGTTCACAAGATCGAGTGTGACGACAACGTTGGTGGAACCGCAGAAGGTTGGTATCTCGGTTGGGAACTTTTGGCGTTCCAGTTTCTGGGAGCTGTTGCAAATGAGCTAGCGCGTTTGGGCGCTTGGTCGGGTAAGCCCTGGACTAGGAGCTCCGAACTGCTTTCAGGTTCTGGACGACGATTTATTGAAACGTTGACCAAATAAACGGTTCCATAAAAAAAANAAAAAAAACCATACTCAGGTTTTAAGAAGACCGAATGTGGAAGTTATGAGTGAGCCGTTCAAGTAAGCATGTCAATATTGGATCTTCACCTTTGTAGCCTGCCATGGCCTCTTTGAATAGGCTTTTCTTCTTTGGTGGAGAAGGATCTTTTACTAAGGGCGGGATGTTCAACAATTTTCGTATTGCTGGCGTTCGGAATGCACCCGCGTATAACAGAGACATCATGTTAGATGCACACCAGTATACGCAAAGGCCCTGAAATGCATTTCGAGTGCTGAGCTACTCACTGGTAAAAGAGAACTCACCGAGGCGAACTGTGAACTGACAGCGAAAATTACCACTGGTAGTGCGTATTGCATTCCAAGTCGCATCATCGGTGTCATTTGATCAGAAGACGTACCCATTTCAATACCAACCTCAAGAACAAATCGATGTAAACTTTCAGCCACTCCGACTACTTGTCAATTGGGGGAGTCCTTCGAGCATAGCTCCACAGATAGCCGTGAAACTGATCCACTAAGCCTTACCACTTTAAAACCTGGCCCTCTACGATCCCGTATTTCTGAAGCCTAGGCACATACATACATTGTATAACAAAAAAATCGCAGGAAATAAGTGGAGAAGTGGCTACCAATATCATCTCATTCTGAACAAGAGCGAAATAATTTCATATTTTTTCTCTTCAATTCTCGCCTCCTCAAAGCGACCTTCTCGATTTCGACTCAAATTTTAGTACCAAAGTGGTCAAGTAGTGTAGCCGCAGTGACAATTTCTTTTCCCATTTTATCCGAACACCAACCTTCCCAGTAAAGTGAAACACTTTTGGGTTTTAATGGGATAAGGAAAAGTTGCGGATTAAAGAAACTTACCCGGGTTACTATGCCCATTGTCAATGCACTGATCAATGGCAGTGCATAGTACGGATCTGATACAGTTAAATCCGTAAACCATGCCGTGCCACCAGTGGAAAGACCGGGATAGTTGACCTGAAATTGATTTAAATATAATATACATGGAGAAGTTTGACTGCTTAATCACTTAGCCTGATCCGAAAAATTCGTTGACATCTCAATGAGGTCTAAACACTTTAACCAAGAGAGGATTGGGTAGTAGGTTGCAGTGAGTTTTTCGGACCATTCAAGACGAGATGTATACCGCAATATGTGTTTACGAACGGCGATCCTGATTCCGCCTTCCAAATTTGCAAAGGATTCTGAGGGCAAACATTTCGCGTTACGGGTACTAAACATATGGTCTCACAAGGATGGCGATTTATGGATAAACTTTAGTCTCGGACGGGACTCGAACTCCCTTACACTACCGAGATCCCGCTTAATCTCGCCTTCTTAATGGCTTATATGCCACAGCTTATCAGCCCTCACACGTACAACGTATAAGCTATGGCATATAAGCCCTCAAGAAGGCGAGGACAAGCGGGGTCAGTGTAAGGAATAAGAGCATGGTCTCCGGAAAGGACAAGTACGGGTTCGAGTCCCGTCCGAGACTGAAGTTTTGTCCACACATCGCCATCCCTGTGAGACTTTCGCATCGCGTACTGCGGTGGAGCGGTGACGCAACTTGTAAGGCGACGGATGAGCTCCCAGGCGCAGCAAGGGTATTTGCTTCTTGGCGCATTTACTCGTTTATTTTTCATCAAATGCTTGGTAATCGCTCCTCATATTGATCATATTAGTATCCACCAACATTCTATCTGAAATTATTTATTGGATAGAAAGCCGCCCTGACCATTTCTGAGCTCCATAAGAATGCGTTTCGATCGCAAGCACTTAATGCGAGTTTTACGGAATGTTGAACTTCCACAAACTTGTATGTATCTACTGTAAACTACTGTATCCTTATATAGAAAATAGAGTAATTCATTTTATTGGGGTAATTCTTGAATTTAGTTCAATCCTCACCTTATATGAGACTTAGAACTGTTTAACACGCATTTAGCACTTTATGAAAACGCATTATCAACAATGCATCAAAGACTAGACCCTCATCCCGCTCCTGTGCCTCCACTGCCAGTTCGGCGCATCAAAACGCAGCACAGCGCAACTTGATGCACTAGCTTTTGGACTCTATTGGGTTGAGTCATAAGCCCTCGGACAATGTGATAGTGATGACTTCTAGAGATCAGAACTCGGGGAGGAGGTGATGAAAATGGACGCGCGAGGCATCGTTAGATAGAGTACAAAAAGCTTCTCCAAATACACTTTAACGAGTACACCTGACCATCCCCTGTGCTTGAGCGTGAGGAGAGAAAGTGCCATGTCGGCGCGAAAATCCATGTCGTACTGCTTCAAAGCATGAGGCACCCATCAACCGAGCTTTCGCACCTTACCGATTGACTTAAGTCCACGATTAATTGTGGACTGACTCCCCAAGGGTGACTGCCAGTTCACGAGGAGTTTGATACGGATCGGCTTCCACCTGGCTCCGCAGCACCTCCAAATCCAACCCCATTGAGCGTCCCGGACTGTCCTCATTTTCGATGGAATTGTCGTCCGACGTGAACTTCGTGTGCCACTTGTGAATTGTGCATCTAGCAGGAGCACCCTTCTTGTGAACTTCCTGAATGCGTCTATCGATCTCCGCGGGTTCTTGGGAAAATAAAAAAAAAAGAAATAGGATGGTGTTGCGGAGGTGGAGTTGCGACAGCTTGAAATCATGGGGCATGATTGCAGGAAAGGAAGCAGTTAGGTGTGTTTGTCAGTATGTATTTTGAAGAGCTTTTCATACTCTATCTAACCTGGCACCGCAGCACCTCCAAATCCATTGAATGCCACGCGCGTCCATTTTCGTCTCCTCTTTTCCGAGTTATGATCTCTAGAAGTCATCGCTATCATTTTGTCCGAGGACTTATGACTCAGCCTAATATATCACGCGTAGGGATGGCCACTGTAACTTTATTTCTAGGATCGTTCCTCAGTCGCAGACTTGGACTGCGGACTTGAGATCGGCGTTCCCAATTTCCATACGGCAGTTCACATCTCGACTTACAGGACCATTATGGTCTAGTATACTTCCATTAGATTTGAAGGTAAAAGAAAAAACAATAAGTAAACATGAGTAGAGCTGTGTCAAACTCGATGTTGGAACGAACAGTAATATACTCTGAATAGTTTGTTGTTTGCTTATCATTTGTTTGTTGTTTATAATACTAAATTTAAACTTCTAGTACCAGTCTCGAATTAACTCACATCAACCATTTTCCTAATTGCGAAGAACTGTGTAGCAAAGACAGCCCCATTTGCCATTAAAATAAGGAACTGTCGCCCTAGTCGAATGTCCTTTGATTTCAAAAAGTCACGCTGTTCCAAGAAAATTTGTTGCTCTGAAACAGTAATTTGAAAAGAAATGTAACTTCTCGACTACTGAAAACTTTGAGGGAAGGGGATATACGATGTTTACATAGATTACATAGATGACAGTCAAATAGTTTCCGTTCAGACTACATTATGGAGCTTGCTGCAAATCGGCGAATCGAACGTTTTCAAGTATCTTATCACACCTATTATCCGTTGTCAATCCGTTGAATGAGAAGGCGATGCATTATGTTGCAAAATGGGTGGCAAAGAACTATACTCACGCAATAAATTGTTCCCCTCCTGACGAGCAGCTTGTATCCTTTGACGGAAATCCTCCAATTCTTTTTTGTACTTACTTTGCTTCGCTACTAATCGTTGAGACATTATGGGTACGATAATTAGCGAAAGACGCAGAGCAACGGTGGCTGAAAATGAGATGTTGAAAAATGCTCATATAGCTACGAACAAAACAGCAGAGAACTTATCAAAAGTAAATCAAGTCGCTAAAGTACGTTACAAAGAAGATGAACAGTTGTAGTAACGTTATGTTCGCATGTCTTTCAACAAACAATCCTTCCAGAAGCCAGGAAGCAGTAGAAAAAGACATTGAAAGATATCAGAACGACGAGCGATTGTATCAACGAAGAACAGTTCTAATCCACTTGCCACAAACAATTGTTGTCCACCATGGAAGATCCGCATGCATGTGTATTGCTTCCAAAGCCATTCGAAAATAGCTGGATGGTTTCCACCACGATAGCAGTCCCAACTCTCCCAGAACTGATTCACCTGCCTAAGTTGATCACAATCATTGAAGGGCAATGACTAATTAGCGGGAAGGTTTTCGCGAAGTAACCCGAGGTGCAGTTTCTGACTAAGTCCGCGTTAAATTTTTTATATTTTTATCACCTATACGCACGACACAGAGAGAAACAATTAGAAGTCGTTATACGTAAACTAGGAAACTCTCACCATCAGAGATAATCGATAACAGTGATAACGCAAGGAAAACGCAATGTTTTCATTAATATTACGGATTTCCTCCACTACTCTTCGATAAAAGGGAATGAATAAAATGAAGTTTTTGAGAAAAAAAGCAACTCACCTCAATCATTTCATCCAAAGTTCTCATTGGGGGAGGTGGTAATGGCATCGCGGGAACATCGGGAGCCACCTATCTATCAGCTATTAGTGAGAGGCACTGTAGAAATTATAAAAATGAAGAGGTGTATGAGAAATCACCTGTGCAGTATAATTGAAAATGTCTTTCGAAGATATGTGCCGCATCTGGAATGATAAGCCCTTTACAACAGCACTACGAACAAACCCCATTTCCTGCTCATCATTAGAGTATCGTAGTAAGGATGGCCACTAATACATAGGACATCGGTTTGTAACTTAGATTTAATAGAGACTGAGAAGTAAGAACTCAGGGCTTTCCACAGGTAACTACACGGTGCAATGAAGAATACCCTATATGTTCTAGTGGACTTGCGGAATTTGAGATTAGTTATATGTCGGTACCGCCTAGCCTTTTTCGGTTAGCACTGGTAAAAGCTAATCGCTTTGCATTCCGCCATTCATTACCGCTAGAGTGTTTTTCGGCTTTGCACATGCGCTTCAAGACTACCTTTTACTACCGTAGGACGCCACATTAAATTGTGTATCCCAGAGTAGAATTTGTAACTGCACTTGTCCTACAGTTGCCATCAGACGACTTCATCAGAATGTTCACGCATGGACGTCATTCCGTTAAGATGGTTTTCATGTGAAGAAAAACTACGATGCCTGCTCACTAAATAAACGAAACTGTTCTTTTAGAGCTGCGCCCAAATGATGATGAAGTATTGGTTGGTTTAATTGCACTACCTCAATGTGAAGCAGTTCATATCACTGGTTTTCCTTTTATGCTTGTAAGTGGATCCTATGTTGACAGCTAAACGCTAACTTTGAAACAATTTTGTCGTGGAGCCACACCAACTAGCTTTTACTGTTCAGGCTTCCTCAGTTTTATCAATGGTCGTAATCTTGCCTTCAAGGAGATGTTTCCAGTGGAGGGATACCCACTGACTGATCGTAAGCCTAGCATCCAACCAATATCGTCAACACTGATAAAAAGCTATAGCTAGTTTATTCTCGGCTGCCAACTCGGACACTTTCCTCGATTTTTCTACACTAGACATTGCGATGATTGGGCTATCTGATGGGAAGTGAGGTCAAAAGTAATAAAAAAAACTCATCACAACTTGACTGACAGAAGTAAGTGCCAATCAACATACACAATGGCGAATTTTCAGCAAGAAACATTGGAAATTAAAAATTTTATGGCAGTAGGCCGAAGGGACGAGGAGAATAGTGCCAAAGGCTCAACAAAGTTTTAAAAAGATTAGCTAAACCCAATTTGTCGACGCAAAATCCGATGTGGTTGACTTAGCCTTTCCTCCTGTGGTTCGGATGAAAACCATGCAAAATGATAACAGCGCACCTGATGGCTACGGTAGAAAGCCGTACGTGACGACATCTCCATCGCAACAAGCCCCCGCCGCAAAGCAACCCGTGGTACAGACAGCATGTTTGCTGTGAAGAAAACCCAAAGTCTGAACGAAACCATATCAACTTCCCCCACCGCATAGTGACAGATAGGCAAAAAGTCACAAAAATATGTGAATGTGAAACATCCATGCGGTCAGGAACAAAAGTAGCGACAAACTTTTATATTTCTGAGAGAGAACTTTTGACTAAATAGCAGAAACTTTATGGATTCATTCACATTCATATATGTACAACCCAAGCTGAGCTTGTCTGAGAACAGAGCTGTGAAGACCAAGAGATTGAGGAGGTGTTCGGGTTTCAAAGTGACAGGGGCGAATTCAATACATGGGAACTGCCAACGAGATCTTTTACTTACGTTACGTTGACTTTTTGTACGATTCTATAGAGAATATTACTGATTTGGCAAAAAACAGCGAAATACAAAATATCGGACTAAACGACTATGAGAGCCACTTCATTCGAATCAAAGCTCGATGTTTATCTTATATAACGAAGATAGATTTAAGCAATACATGCCTATTCAATAATATAAGGGATTGTAGGTAATCCAATGCTGTTCAGGCTTCCTCTTTGCTTCCTCACATGTAGTGAACAGCTTCTTATAAGCGTCCGATTTTGTTGGATCTGACTGAATATCGCTTTCGACTTTTCTTTTCTCGGCTTTCTTCAATTTGCATTTGAGGGGATCTGAGGAGACACCTGAATCAGAAAAAAACAATGAGTAACTCGGCATAGCATAACTAAGCCTGGAGTGATACACACGCATTAAAAAATTTCAAATCTGCCGGTCCGTTGATGCTTTTTACAGGACCCTTTCGACGCTTACAGCTTCTTTAGAGAAGAGACAGCAAGCCTGACTTCTTACCAGGTAAGGCTTCAAAGTGAATTGATGGAAAGGATGAAAGACAAAGCCGACAGCGTCAATCGATTCCTTTTCGGGAGATGTCCACGCTTCGGAATCGTAGTGATGTAGTGACCTAAGGAGACTGCCAGATGTACGAGTCAGCGCTTTAAACGAGTCCGGTATTAGACACTCAGCAACGAAGATAAGGTGGTCTGGAACCCATCACTACCAAAAAGGGAAAGCAAGGAAAAAGTAAACCACTGTTACGCCTGGCTAGCCTCTTTTCGTTCCTAGCTGATATTTGGTGCGCTAATCCTTAGAGATCAGCAGTTGCTGTAGTGAAGCTGATTCAGAAAAAAAAAGTCGTATTTGAATACACTAGAATAGGGGCAGAGCTAAGGTGAATCGCAACCATAGAAGCAAATGATAGCAGTCTCACTTCGCCCCTCCACACAAAAAAGAAATGTCTGACTAAACGACACACCTTCCTTCTTCTTATGTCCGTTGTCGACTTTCTTCGGGGCACCATCGTCGAGAACTTTCTTCTCCTTCTCTTCATCTGTTGCCTTCTCGGTTTCACCATTCTTCTTCTTTTGTTTCTTCTCAGCACGTTCAGCAGCCAACTTCTGCTTGTAGACCTCGAGCAATTCGTCATCGGGATTCAAGACGACCGATTCATTTGGATCCCATGGCCCGCCGCATCCATGGCACACGTCGGATTTGACCTACGAACAAAATGCGCTGCCATCACGGGATAAAAAGTAATACAAAAATGAAAGTGTCAGGATTACATACCTCTTGTATGGCTTTTTCTGAAAAGACACAACCACATTTCCAGTTCACGACGAAACTATTGATCCCATTCATAGGAAGAGCAGTGACAGGGCAGAGGAACTCCGACTAAAAAAAATAAGAAATGCTGGAAAGATCGAGCAAGACCTCAAAGTTACAGATAGTATTCGATAGCTTACCTGATTGTAATCGAGATATTCATCTCCCTTAACTTCGCCGCCGTTGTAGTCCTTGTTCTTCTTTAACTTCAATTCTTTGAAGTCCTATAAACAGAGTAATTATAATCGGACGTGTTTCAATAAAGGGGCTGCGAAAGACCCTTTAAACATCAGTTCTTGTCCTACGGCATTCTGAACCGCGATTGAGGTTGATTGGGAGATTGGGGAAGGAAGGAGCCAGTACTGAGCAAGAATTAGAGCCACGTTGAATTAAAGACCAATTACTTTTATTTTTTTATTTATACTTTTTCTTGTTCTTTTTTCAGTAGTGAGATATCGTATTCTATTAGATTTCAACAGCGCGTTTCACTATCTTCTCCAGAAACATGCATGATCACAGAGTTCTGGATCGCTAAGATCACGCTGTAACAAAAATGACTTGTAGATAATTTAAACCAATATCGTTCCCAAGGGTGCAATGATCTCGTGAACGTTCGAGTTCTATCAACAAGCCTTTCCAACCATTTGTGGCATGCGGCGCACTGGAGCATCAAAGTTCGCGGAAAAAGCAACACCTCTTTACGTTCTCCCCCTCTCAAAGGTTGCCACGATGAAGTTTTCTCAACCGATTTTTCTGTATGACTCAGAGTAATAATGCAGTACGGAACTTAATGAAAAAAGAAAATTTCACTTAATACCCTCAAATTGGTGTTATCGTCAACAAAGTACGTCGATATCATCACGAATCGATTATAAATTGGTCGTATACCCACAATTCTGCGCAGACGTGAAGTTCATTTACCACATTACGTCCACCCAACAAGTTGTATTGTTATGATCAGCATGCTCAATACCATTGCTCTGGTAAGTACGAAGCGGTCGAGTGCTATATGATGAAAAACATTACTTGATAGAACTCATCAAGTTGAATGAAGATGACCAGGTATTGCTGACCTCAACTATCAGCGACCCAAAGGATGAATACCCAGCTTTAGTTTGCATTATAGGGAGGGAAGAAGAGTCATCTATCATTTATCGCGATACGAAATCACTGCTGAGGAGATTTCCATTGCACGGACGTAAGCAATTCGGGTGTGTGTCAAGTCGTGCGTCCGAGAGTGCGCGCGGCAAATTGCGCGGCGAAGTTCGTGGCGAGTTTGGACGACTCCGGCGCCTATCATTGGGGCCCAAATCTGAAGTAAGGTAGATTAGTAAGGTCAGCTGATCCTAATAGGTATGGGTTTCGCCGCGCAATTTGCCGCACGCACCCTCGGACGCACGACTTGACCGTCCCCCAAGCAATTCATGCGTTAAGGATTTCTTAAAATGCGCGAATGTGTAATGGAAAAAGGTAGCATGTGAAAGCTTGAGAGAGTCGCAAAGTAAGCGAATCCTGGAACACATCAAACCAAATAAAAAGGTATGCAGATAACAGGGCTTTCTCAATTCGGAGCTGGGACAAAACAGAAGAAGTGAAAAGCACTCGAACAATAAATTCTACAAATAACGAACTCCAGTACCATACATAGTGAGTGCGACGGAATCTTCAATGGCTGTTTCAAGGGTATTCATGAGAAATGATAAAGGCTAGTTAGGGGAATTGTGATACAAAGGTCACTGGGGCCGCCGCACTAATTATGGTCTTAAAACCTTGACGATTCATTCGAAGAGGAACGCAGGCACTAGAAGAAGGTGATAACCACTGATAAAGGATGAGAAAGAAGCTAACAGAAACATGTACAAAGACCTAGGATGTCTCTTCGGTAACGATGTGTTCGAAATCTGTGACGGCATCATACAACTACTTAATAGCGCGTTTCTACGATTAGCAGTAAAGATGAATTCACATCGAGCTGAGTTGCTTCATTAAAGTGGAACTAAAAAGATGGGAAGAGGAAGGATTTTGCAATTGAAACTATAAACCGGATTATAAGTAGCGACGAAAAAAAATTCACAACTAGGTGCTAGTGATGCTACGCACATGCCTCAACCCGATCGTATCTTACCCTGGATTTCTTTTCAGAAGTCAACTTCCTTTTTGTGGATGGGCCTAGTACTTTTTTCATTGGCAGCATGCTCCAGAAAGAAATACGGTGTACCAGAGAATACTATAAGTGTGCGATCACTATACGACGGTGAGAACACATTCATAACCTGCTCTACCATACAAATGATTTCCATAACACGCTGCTGCACATGGTTTACCTAAGAGGTTTTCATTCACGGTTAAGAACCCTTTTGCAATAACTAAACCAGAAGGTTACCGGCTGACCTCCTGCATCTTCAAGAGAATCATAGCGACTTGCTAATGAGTTTCTGTATAAAAGTATTGATCTACTTTGGACCACTTGAGCGAGCAAAGCTCATTGAACTATGCTGTTTTCAGACCAAGATGAACGGAAATGTTATGGGGTCGGATTAGGGAAAGCTTTCATTACCTACGGGACAGGCAAGAAGGGCGGTACAGTTGCAGCAAAGTGGAGCAGCAACCACTGCGTGAGCAGTTACTGTCCTCGTGGGGCGAATCTCTAGATTCGAGTAATGGAGTAATGTGTTGCTGTTTCTCGGCGTAGAAGATCATCGTAGCAAAGCAATGAACCTGGCGTACACCAGCCATCCTCCATTCGGGTATACAGACCAGCGACTTAGCCAACTACATCCTTGCTTTATCCCCCTCCTTATTTATACCATTTTTATATGTTAATGCTTATAGAACTTCATTTGACGCAGATAACTGATGGGTACACCAGCCCTATTTCTTTTGAATTTGAGCCCTGTTTTGAATGCATTCCCTGCATCCAAGAGCACTTCCGACTACAGGCAATTTTCTCTGACCTCATAATTGTCAACTATCACTTTTAACGCGACTAAAAAAGTGTTCAAATCGGAAACAAAGCACTTTTGTCGCTTAAGCACTGTTCCAGCGCTTGCAGTCAGGGCATCGAGTCACGGTTATTGTTACTTATCGTTTAATTTCGATATGTGGATACATAAAAAGATAATTCTTTGAAAGGACGTGAACTAATTGGTATAGAACAGATTCAATGAGCAAAAACTGTATTCTGATCATGTGGAGTTAGTACTTTCATTTTCAGAAGATCTACCACCACAGGCTTCTTTAGCACCACAATCTCTCAACAAGTAGCGGTAAGAGCTCTAAAGTATCTAGTAAGCATATTTCCAGTGTAAAAGTATTGAGAATCGCTTTACAGAAGATCACAATGCCGAATCAAACCAAAGTAAACTACTAAATTGCCAATTTCCAACAAATTGATTCCAGATTAGCTGTATAAAGTTTAGAGCATATGTAATTGATTAGATAGGAGAATTCTTTTCACTATATGCATTTGAAAAGTAGTTTAAATGTCAAACAAATAAAACATCCTTCAACATAGCCGCCTATCTTTGCCATCCGTTGGCATCAATCTTATCAATCAACCATTCAATTAAACGATGTGGCAATAAATATTTCCTAAACGCTTAGTGGTCATGCATGTTTTATTGTGCTCAAGCTCTCTGATTAACACTGTTCACCATTGTTTCTCGCAGCAACATTCTTTCTATTTGACCTTACAACTTTTGTGGAATACCACAATTTGCGGAAGAATAATACATGCTCGATTAATTAAAATGGTGCTATTGTTTGTAGCCCTTCAAAAATCTCATGTTTCCGAAAAAAACAGTGGGTAATGTAAAAACTGACCTTGATTCCTTTGATGTGTGATGCAACAGCGAAGTTACCAATAGTTTTTGTTAGTATAGCTTCAATAACAGTTTCTTTGTTATAAAGACGCCCATAACGGCATGCAATAATCGGTTTCTAAAAAGATGCTATAGAGTTTTGCAGACGTTTTGAAAATATCACAATATCGCACAGAACACATTGAAACCACTTGAAAAAGGGAAATACCTTGAGTGGCTGCTGCGACAATTGGCAGTTTCGCCATTTCGAAGCATTTTTTACGTTCCTTTCCAATTTTTCAGCTTTCTTCTTTTTCTTCACAAGTTCACATCTCTTTGGAATCGTGCCTCCATCAGCTCCCATTGTATTTTCTGCTACAGATGCTCTAAGAATAAAATGGATACTCTCAAAACAAACGATATGCAGAAGTGCGATGACGCGGAGTTTGAAAAACAAAAACGAAAAACCATGACATTGAAGTGAAAATACAGAGATTTGCATTAATATAATCCAAAAATGGGTGAGGAACAAAAAAGCGTAAAACCTAAAGAAGAAAGAATCACAATCTGCCAGTGTTTTTTCTTTTACTTTTCCGTCATGAACTACGGAGAAAGCCAATAAATAATCAACAAGCTAAACAAGTTGCGCTCAGTTACGTGTAAGAACAATTTCTTCACCCGCATAGGTCAGCTTTAGAAAGAAAACGAAAAAAGAGTGAAAATGTTGAACAGAAATCAAATTTTCTAAGGTGTCTTCACTTCAGCATCCTTATTCCGAAAAAAGAAAAATCAAGAAGAGAGAAAAAGTCGGTACAGGGTTGCTGTCAACCAGAATTTCTCTCGCTGAGAGAATCAGACGGCGATGCAAACTCTGCGTCTCGCGTTCATCAGCGAGAGGAGGGCGTGTCCGCTCGTTGTCCGTACTCTCCTACCGAGCGCTCTCTCGTCAAGAGTGGATATTCGAACGGGTCCAAGAGTCGAAGAATTTTCAGAAAGACAGACTTCACTCAACTATGGAAATTTCGTATTTCAAAGTTCAGGTAGTCTGAGAAAAGGAAAGGCTTGATCCTTGTCCAAATATTAATAAAACATCTGCATAGAACATCTACACCGAG